ATACTGATATAATATGTGATGATATAAATATATTATTCATATACAAATATATGATGTGTAATATATAGATGATATGTAATATACAGTTAGGACACACACCAGCCTAGTCTACACAATGGGTTATAGGTTATCTGAGCTGAGGCTACAGAGTGAGGCCTTACCTGAAAACCAAATTAAGGGGCTGGAAAGATGGTTCAGTGATTAAGAACACTGACTGCTCCTCCAAAGGTCCTGAGTTCAATTCCCAGCAACCACATGGTGGCTCACAACCATCTGTAATAGGATCTGATGCCCTATTCTGTCATGCAGGCTTACATGCAAATAGAGCACTCATATGAATTAAATAAATAAATAAATATTAAAAAAATTAAAACCTAGGAAACAAGTGAAAATTGTAGACTTTGAAGAGCAGGAAATGCTCAACATATCTCATATATATATATATATATATATATATATATATATATATATGGTATAATGTATATATACATATATATATATATAATAATGAAGTAGTTATATGTATGCATGTGTATATACTAAACCTTAAACTAGAGTATCTCATCTTAAATAATGCATTTGATTTTCCTTTGTTTTAAATATTAGACTAAGACATGAGAAAGGAGTGATTCTTCCTATACCCATCCTTAGAAATCACTGAGTAGGAACACTGAGCAAGTGATTCCTATTAGCATGGACCAAAGAACTAACTTGGTCACATTACTCTAGATCTTCTCAGAAGGATGTAAGCACTCTTTCATTTTACTTCCATCAAGTACAATTTAAAGTGTTCCTTTGGTTCCCTGAGGGACAAGCCTGACTTCATAGGGGTTGATGTCAAAAATATCCTACCCTCTCTCCAGGAAAAAGACATCGGGATGGGTATGGCCCTCATGCCTCACTGGACAACGACAGGGGGACTGGAGCCATTACAAGGTCCCCTTCAATTACTGGAGGTCAGGCCTCTATCCCCGCCTTCACAAGATTAGAATTGCCACAGCCCTTCTGTATTTAGAGAAGGGAGAAGATGTCAGGGGCAGCCCTGCTTACACACTGTAGGCCTAAAATCAGCCATAGGCCTAAAATCAGCAGTGGGCCTGTCATACTTCTATACTAACACCAAGTCTTGGGTCTCAGTGGAAGAACATTGAAACAGATGGCTATAAGCTAATGTCAATGGGCAACTTTTGTGGAAATTTATAAGCCTGAGTGGTCATGGACCTTGTAAATAGGTAGCCTTGGCAGATAATACCAGCTTAGATGGGGACAAGCGAGTCATAGGCAGAGTCATGGAGACTTGTCCCCTGAACCTTCACGCAGCCGATACCCAGTTCTGAAGATATCTATATTCCCCCTGAGCACCCACACTCCAGTGTCATTCCCTTCCCCATGTCCTGCCTTTCTGTGTTTATACCCCTGTGTGAATTAATTATGATTGAGAAAAAATTTTTAAAAAAAGAAAACAAACAAAAAAAAACAAAAAACAAAGCAAAAAAAAATAATAAAGTGTTCCTTTGGCCTTTGGAATGAGTTGTAAAGAGTGAGTGGCATTTATAGAATACGGTAAACCTAGAAAAGATATAGAAATTACTTTGTGGAGAGACTGGCAGGTATAAGGAGCGACAGGTTTCTTTCTGAAATGTATGCTCAAGATTCTCAAGCAAAGGCTCCAAATCTACGGTAACTTCTTGGTACTGGTTTAGGGAAGAAGCCAGTAAGAGTGGAAAAGCAAGTGCATATGAGGAGAGGTTAGAAATTCAGATTAAATAGAAAATCAAAAATGGTACATCAAAGGAAAACATCAGCCCTTGACATTTTTATGGTATACTTTCCAACTGTACATGGTATGGATAGATGTATATGTATATGTACAAGTATATATATACAAAATATGAAGCAGAAATGAAATCTACTAATTAAGGAAAGAGAGGCCATGAACTTGAGAGTAGGCATGTAGTATATATGGAAGAGATTAGAGCGAGAAAAATAAAGAGGAAAAATAATGTAATTATGTTAATTTCAGAACCTAAAACCAAACATTATTTTTTTTTCAAAACTAATGTGATTTGTTTAAAGATAGGAGAAATAAATAGTCTTAATAGTACTAGACACACAGGGAGAAGACATCCAGGAAAGGGAAGCTGGATGGACTTACAAATAGGAACGGGAGGAAGACTAGCTTTCCTGAAGAAGGGAATTGTAAGACATGGGAAAGATGCTTTTGAATGTTTGATTGAGCTGCATGGAAGTTGTGTTCAATGGGTGATGGTAGAGACATGGGAGAGAAAGAACATGAAATAATTTTAATAACGAACACAAAATAGATACCCAAGGGTAAGCATATGTAGACAGGGACAAATTCACAATAAGAAGTGCAATAAAATCGCTAACATCTTGCGAGACATGAGATATGAAAGAGTAAAGTGAATTATCAGACAAAGGCATCAGGGTTCAAGACTGGATGACTTGATCAGTAGCATCTATTTTAATGCAAAACAAAACAAGGACAGAATTCGAGACTGAGGACATTTCTGACATGGTAAGAGGTTTGTTCCCTCTAACCAGATTACAAAACTGTTTGGTGCAATGAGTAGCTGCATATTCCACATAAATGCTCTTCTAATGACAGTCATTTATTGTGGTTGCTATCCAGGATTTGCTTCTCTTAGAAATGGAACCCGTAATTTTTTAGATGGGCACATAGTTGTTTAGAATAAACGCTGCATTTTGCAGTTTCTTCCACAGCTAGATAAGGTTTTAAAACTCTAAGAAAGCCAATGTCATAAAGCCTTAATGAAATGGGGTTTGTCTATTTCCTAGAATGGAACTCCATAATCCACTTAAGACGGAAAGTTTGGAGTCACTAATGGAGAGGTCCCAGCTCTCTGACATGGTCTTAACTTCACTGTATATATCTTCAGATTTCACCACCTGACTGAGAAACAGCCTTTCCTGTTTTCCTATTGTAATGTGATATTGAATTTCCTGCTGTATTCAACCAAGTCTAACACTGCTTAATATATCTAACGTGATCATTTCTGCTATTTTCTCTTGCTCTTTAAATATTTTAAATATATTTCTTTATAACACATGGAAATATTTCAGTATGCTGCTGAAGCATTCTCCATATTTGTTTGAAACTTCAGTCTTAAATCTGATAAGAGGCATGGTAAAATTATTCCCACAAGCGTAATTATTCCTATAACTCTTCATGCCATGGAATTCAATTGAAATATCAGATGTTGGGATTAGAGAGGTGGCTCAGTGGTTAAAAACACTGGTTCCTCTTTCAAGGGATCTGGGTTCAAGTCCCAGCACCAACATGGCAGTTCACAACTCTCTATCTCCAGTTGCAGAGGATATGACACCCTCACACCGACATACCTGGAGACAGAACACCAATGTATATAAAACAAAACAAGAAAAACATAAATATCAGGTGCTTGATTAAGACTTACTGACCAAAGTAATTTACTCAAATTCTACTGATTAAATAAAAAATTGATCAAATATTAAATACAGGCCATTTAGTAAAGTAGATGTTTTAGGAAACATACATGGTAATAAGCATGTTCCACATGGAAAATTTTATCTATCTATACATTTCTATATTATCTATCATCTATCTATCTATCTATCTATATTTATCTAGTTATCTATCTATCATCTATCTTATCTAGATTTTATTTTCACTAGCTGTAATACTAATATAATATATTATGCATATAATTAAACATGGAATGACAGACTCTGTAGCTATTTCTACAGACCAAAAAAAAAAATCACAATCAAGTAAAGTAGATAGTATCTAAAGATTTTATGGAGAAAGGTAAATCTGGGACAAGTTTAAAAACTTGAACAGAAGAAGCTAATCCAAATAGATAGCATATCTAATTTTATCCACAGATGCTGGATAAAATGACTAGCTTTTGTAATGTTAGTATTAGTTTGCCAATATAAAGCACACTCGGTTACATTTTTAGCTTACATTTGTATATGGGCACAAAATAATGCCATTAACTTCTAGGAAGTCAGAGATCAGATGATGAACGTAGAAAGCTTTAAAAACCTGAATGCTAGGTGTATGCTACACTGCAAGGGATACCTGTGAAGGTTTAGAGCAGTGGCTAAAACCTGTGACTCTTTTTGACAGTGCCTCATGCCGTGGTGACTCACAACTGAAAAATCGTCTTCGTAGCTACTTCATAACTTTAATTTTGCTACTGCTATGAATTGTAATGTAATCTGATAAGCAGCCTACCTATATATGAACCCTGCAAAAGGGCTATTCAATCCCCAAAAGGGGTCACCGCTCACAGGTTGAGAAACACTGGTTTAGATCCATCTCCAATAAAGGGCTTCACCTGCTGGGCACTCTGCCTCTGGAGCAAACATTTGAAGAAAGATCGGCACCCAAGAGCTCACAAAACCCCAGAAAATAAATAGTTAAAAATAAAAATGGCAGCAGTAAGAAAAACAGCAGTGTTTCAATTTGCAAACGGAAATCCCTACAAATGTGTAGCAAGAGGGACAATACTTCACTTTTTTCTTCACATTACAATAAAAAAAGCAGCTAGCACTCAAACATTCAAACCCTGCAGATGACATTTGGAGAAAGGAGAGGGCATCCACAAGGGATTTTACAGAGATTTCCCATTTATGGGAAATGTATAATTTCGTAATGTATATGAGAATGACTTCCCATTTTCCTATACCTGTGAATGCTACTAACACCTAGGAGAAAGTATATTAATAAACAGTTACTCATTCCATTAAGAAGAATACTGGCTATCCTATACAGATATTCAGAATTTTGTTCGTGAATTTTGCAACTATACATTAAACTACAGTTTGCAAGTTCAATGCTGTCTCACAAAATTCTGCCCCCTACTTATACCAGAGCTCTTCTAAGAGTCACCATCTCCCAAAGTTCATGGTGCAACTGACAAGAAGTTTCTCTTTTGTGTTTTTTAAGTCTACAGTGACCTTCAGCTACTAACCTTGCTGTCTTCGATCTCCTTGGCTGTTCCCTGCAGGGCTTTCTTCTCTCCAAACTCACAGGTTGATTTTAATGTGAGCTGGCACGAAAGCATTGAACACTCCTCCGTTGTAGCAAATTCCAAAGATCTTGAAGAACAGCGCTGTGACACACTGATGCCAAGATTTGGTATCGGAAGAGCAGCGTGAACAGGCTTTGACCCAACAGCTGGCTGTCTCAGTTTTGAGGCAACCCCAAGGACAGGCATGGCTTCTATAAAAGTATCTTTTTGTTGCCAAAGAAAATGCTCCTAACCTCAGTCTGGTAGACTCCGGCTTTAGTATTTCCAGAAGAAAAAAAAATACTTTAAGCAAAACTAGCAGTCATCTGGATTTAAAAGAAAAAGAAAGGAAGAAAAAAGAAAGAAAGAAAGAAAGAAAGAAAGAAAGAAAGAAAGAAAGAAAGAAAGAAAGAAAGAAAGAAACTCAGATAGACAGACAATAACTTTCAAACTAACTTTCAGGAAGAGACAACATTTTTTCTCATCTGAGAATCTGTCTTGCTAGTTTAGATTCTCTCTCTCTCTCTCTCTCTCTCTCTCTCTCTCTCTCTCTCTCTCT